CTTTATCTGTATTTGCTGGAATAGAGGTAAAAAGCATTATATTACATTAATACTATGTAATGAAATTGTAACAACTGCTATAGGACGTTTCTAAATCGATAACAGAATTATAAAATAATTATCATTTCAGAGTGAATTACCAACTTGGAGATTCAATACTAGAAGCACCGAGATTGAATTGTGGCGAGCCATGGCAATGTGTCTGGCTGCTCGTAGACGTATTGGTCTCCTAATGAAACTTGATCATCATGATGCAATGAATGCCGCACTGAATAAATTATTATCTTTTTATCTAACACTCTCCAGGTATAATATAATTAAATTCTTGGAAGATGAAATGCATAAATATTATGATGTATAAAATATACAAAATTATTTTCAGAATACCGTCAACACGATGTTGCCCATTGTTGTGGAGATTGTATATGCTCCTCCTGCGCGAGCATAATTTATGCGAGAAAAAAGGAGAAGAGATTTATCATGAAAGCGTCACTCAATGTCCATGGGCAAGAAGTATTTACATAGATGCAGCTGAAGTAGCGCCTCAACTTCTCACACAAATTCAAGATCTGATTCGCGAGAAAGAATTAAGAATGCACGTCACACCTGAGGAATTAGATATTCTTCGTGGATAATGTAATTTTTTTTATATATTAAGAAAAACTATAATGTTCTTAATGTCTATATTAACTGTAATATTCTTGATATTAGTAATGTCTTTTTAATTTAAATTTTATTTTCTAATGTGATAAATTATAAGAGTACATTTAAATTTAAAATAAAGTAAATAAGCCTTTTTTTCAATATGTAAAATAAAATATGTAATAAAATATAAAACAATTTGATATTCAGTCTCATATTCAAAATTAATTATTTTTAATATATATTACATACGCATATATGTATTAACCCTAATAGGCGATTGTTATTTTTGATTCTTCCCGGCCTCACCAGAGTATGTGAAACCTTGCGACTTTGTCACGCTATATCTCTGGACTGAATACGTATTTTTTTAGCTCAAAACATGTGAAATTTATATCTTGAATTGATTACTTTGGATAAAAAATTTCGAAACTTTTAAATTTAATATTCAAGCAAAAACTCGTACGATTTTTTTAGTTGACCTTTTGGACTAACAAAAAAAATAGTACGATATGAATCGTTTAAAAAAGTACAATTATTTGAACTATCAAAAATCGACATTTTTGAAAAATCTATACATATTATAAGTTTACAAAATTAATAAATAAAATTTTATTATTTAAATAATATAAAATGACAGATAAAAGATTGTACATGTATAAATATTATTATAGTACTTATGTATAATTAAATTTATCAGGCTTTAGTTTAGAGGATGATGCAATACTCACTCTAAAGCAATAAATCCGCTCTAGCCGAGCGATCTCCGAAGACTGACAGAAATTATAAAATTTCTACTATTTATTGTCTTATATTGAAATAGAATTCTTTTTAGTTCTACATTTTCGTGTACTTACTTTTATACTATCCGAAATGTATATTTAATAAAAAATAAAAGAATAGAGTCTCTAGAATGCCAAAAACTTACAAGTTAGTCATGTATGGGTCCCAAGTACCCTCTTTGAATTTTCGTGCATTTTCACATTGAGAATAACGCCTTGCAGGCTTATCATATCTATAGACAGTTAAAGTTTTTTTTCCGCCTCAATCCGGGTTTTCAAATTATATTATAAAAAAGTTACAGCAATGTAAAAAATCGCACAGGATACATTGAATCCATGAGTGGCCTGTTAGGATTAAATATATATGTTATATATTCATATTTCATATTAATTATAATAGAATGTAATAATTTGTTTTTAATAATTATATTCTATTTGCTAAATGCAAATGTCGCGTTAAAAATGTACACGATAACGTTATCGATAAAAGATGTTCATAGTTCATATCTGAAAGTCTTTGACAGTCTTTGGTTAGCTCAGTGATGTGGCACAAAAAATTGTAATAGTATTTTTCAGAATAAATTATAAACAGACTTGAAAAATAAAAGATTGTCTTAGATCAAGTGTATTATCTTAAATCAAGTGTATTGTTTTCTTATTGAGACAGTCAAAAATAACAATTTACAAGTTGTGTATGTTTTTAATAATATAACTAACCTCAAATTGATAATATATTGGTAGCTAATTGATTGTATGTATGTGGATTAAATGTCGTTACATAAATTTTAATAACGATAAATAGAAAGAAAATCTGTCAAATTACATTAAATATACAACAAATATATGAATTGAAAGATAATTACTTCTTATAATATCTTTAAGTTCTTTTATCATACTTGTGTATTAATGTATATATTTTTTATTTGCAGTGTAGAAAATTTGATTACAAACATCAGATTTCCTAAAAAATGGATTTAAAAGCTGTAGTTGTTTCTGGAGAAGCTCCAGAGTCTGACGATGATGCATCAAATATTGTCACTGTATGTAACATATATACATGTATATCTATATACATATATTTTATACTAAAAGTTTTTAATTTAATACAGTTAACATAAAAAGTGTATTGTGTTTACAAATTTTATTACATGTAGGGCCTAGGATTCCCTACAATGCGAACACCATCCACATACTGCGGTACCATTATCTCAGGCGAAGCTCCAGAATCTGATGATGGTAAGTTTTATTGACTCTTTTTAAATTTATAAGGAACTAATTAACATTCAATTTTTATTCACAGATTTAACAAGTTTAAGTAGTATTAGCGGAGCGGTAGATGCCATGGTATGTCCTCCTTACACAGATCTTAAAATACCCAGATCTAAAAAAAGTTCTATCAAGTATAATAGTTTACTTCATAAAAAGTTATGTAAGTGATTTAATATCTTAAGATACTTATGAAATCACACACACACACACATATTTCCTAATTAATTACTAATTATTTATTTTTCTATTCATTAATAAAATATCAAGTATTGCAAGCTTGTGGAATAAAATATTTACAAAATATGAATTTTATTTTTGTTAACATTCGTTTATTAATATTACAGCAGTACAATGTGCGTAACTATAGCTAAACAGTATTATGAGATTGTTCATGTGTGGAATATCGATAACTTATTTTCCAATGATTCGTATCTCTAAATCAATTTCGATTTACTACACAGTTACATTCGCATAATTACAATGTTTATCTATAAGTTATACTGTACAAAGAATTTTCTTATAAGTTCTTATAAAACAGCATTTATGAAAGACATTAAATTATATTTTCAAACACAAAATCGATATATGTATATATATATATGTATATACGTATCGCTTATTAATTTTGAACATCATTTAAATTGACATATGTTAAACAGACGAATGCAATGAAACCTTGGATAGAGACATTCTGCAAATGACCGAGGGCGCAATCACAACCAGCGTACAAGAACTGTCAGCTGTTAATCGACAATTGCTGAGAAGTGAATTGGTGTTACAAGAGGCTGTGTGTCAATTACGCAATGCATCCGGTCGGGTGAAGGATGCCTCCAACGCTTTACATCAACTCATAGACGACAACTTCTTGCATTCCGTTAAAATTTAACTTTTATTAAACTTATTAAGTGCATTTCTAGTCTTAAGATATACATGTAGCAATGAATAACAGGTATGTGCTTACAAGGGACGTCACACAACTGTCCGGTACCGATTTAATTTTCCGTGAAATATGTTAACGCAAAAATCTAAGAGACGTATTTTTTTTATACATGCACTAACTCATGTTTAAGAGGTGAAATATCCCTTTGAAAAACAAAAACGGTATTTCTATTTCGAATCGAATGTATAACCGGAAATATAAAAGATAGGAAATTTTTTTTAATATTTTTGTTTAACAATTGTTAACAAAAAAATTTTTAATTTTATTTTTTTTTACAACTTTTTTGTTTAAAACATTTTTTTCCATCTTTTATACTTTCGATGGTATTCGGAATGGAAATATCATTTTTTTGAGTTGATGCACGTATAAAAAAATACGTGTCTCCCTTAGATTTTTGCGTTTAACAACATATTTCACGAAGAATCAAATCTGTACCGGACAGTTGTGTGACGTCTCTTATTAGTATATAATATCATGGTACCGTGCATTAGATGCCGATGTTAAAAAAAAATGCGCTTTCCTCTTTGAGATCTGGGACATTGTTGAGCATTAATCGATCTTCCCTTTAACTGGCAGTACTATTTAATGCGTCCTTTTTATACTTTCCAACGCGTTGTCTCGTTTGTCTCGATAATAGTATCAATCACATCAATTTATTATAAACTAATACCCTAAGATCGATCTGTGGAACAAAACGTATTGCGCCTGATATTTAACGATACATTTGATCATACAGTGAGATAGCAAATAGTTCGATACTGGCTATTGTCTTGCCTACCATTTCGTAAATTTCAATCGGAGTGGTGGCACAAATTCTAATACAAATATGTATAATGCGATTATAGTGCGCAAGAGGCTGGTGATAATTATATATATTACGATATATGTGTGTGTGT